TGACAACAACTAAACTTGTTTCCAAGACAGTTATTAGACTGAAATTATAAATCTGAATTTGTTTTGTTTGAATAGAAACTGTATTATCATATTTTTTTCTAGAAAAATTTATGATTAATTTAAAAAAATAAAAAGTTCCAAAAGTTCATCATTTCACTCAAATAATTGTCCAGTCAACATGTTTATTTTTTGTCAATAAAGACATGTAATGATAAATTCCATTCCAAATATCTTGAGAACGGTTGATCGAAGCGATTTTTACCAGCAGGTATGTTTTACCTAAAATAAAAGAAGGAAATGTATATTTTACACCAGTGTAAAAATAAAAGTGTTTTGGTGTATTGTGGTGATTTAGTGTTTTTATTTTGCTGTGTAACACCAAAGGTTCCAACCCTCAACTGTAATAGTCATATTGATATATAAATCAAATTTCTCGTGTCAAAAACACACACACACACACACACACACACACCGATACCAATTTTCATCCCCATATTGACGTTAGTTCAGAAATTATTTAGAATTAACTTAATAACATTTAGTTTCTAATTTAAAACGTAATTTTTGACAGCTTAATTAAAACCCAAAGCAAATTGATTAATAACTTATTAAAAATGCCATTTCCAACATCTGATTTTTTTTTTGGTGGCAGAGCATTTTTTATGATTTAAGCTAATAAATGACTTTTAGATAACTAGGTGATAAATAAACATAAATAGAACTTGAAGGAAATAATTTAAATTTAAATAGAAACGAAAAAGTTTTAGTTGGCGTTGTGAATGCACTTTTCGTATATGCCTGTGGGAAATTTGTATATCCAATCTACAGTTTGAACTAAAACTTTTTTCGCGGCTGTTTTTTTTTTGTTCCTCGGCCAATAAATCGTGGGAAAGCATTGTTTTGCCCATGATATTTCACAGAGTTAATAAGCTAAAAACAACGAAAAAAGTTATCGAGAGTGAAGTTTTCAAAATAAGGATTTATTAACTAACGGTTGGGGATTAACTCGTTTCAAAATGTGAAAAAAAGTGTCAACAAATGTAAATTTATTGCCACAGAGACTTATAGGGCATAGACGCTAATTTTAACCGATCAGGCAAATATTTTATGAAAAAAAATATAAATTCAGAAAAGAAACATTTCTTGTGAAAAAAAATATCAACTAATAGTTAAAAGTTACTAAACCGAAGATTTAATGAACTTAATTTTATTTGCCATCGATTTTAAAGGCTTAATTTTGCGAGAAAAAACGTAGCACGACAAAATATCGACAAGGAATATTAATTACAACAAATCCCATCGTAACAAGACAGAATACAAAAAACAAATATTTCTTAAAATTCGAAGAACGTAACATTTAATGACAATATTTGAATCAAATTCCGCCTTTTTAATATAAATATCAACCTTTGTATCGGAAGAATTTTTAAATTGGAAAAAAAGGGAAAAAAATCAGCAAATTGATGTTTTGATTAATAACAATGGAAACAGAAAACTGTTATATCGAAGTTCCATTGTCTTTATTTTATAAAGTATACGTAACTGCAACATTTTAAACTGTAAATGTGTTGTGAAATTTTCCTCATTGTATACCTTATCTACAAAGATATTCCCGAATGCTACTATTGGAATGGTCACACTGTATAGCTTTTAAACGGTTTAAAAATAATAAAAAAATAAATAAATATAACATTATATAACGGGTGTTTTCCGAAGTATCTCACTTCTATAACTTTTATAGATAATATATAATCTATGGCTTCCGGTTTCACCGGAAATAACAACAACTTCTAATTTTGAATGGTACCCTCAGTATTTTATTTGCTATATTTGATAGAAAATAACATTCTGAATTGAATGAATGACATATCATATGATAACTTTTGACATTTTCTCTTAAAAATAAATGCATTTTATATTTCAGTCTAGAGTGTCACAACAAAAAATTAACGACAATTTGACCCCAAATACGAAGTCTGTGATACAAAATTATTCGTAAAAAATATTTTTCGCTAGTGGGCCTCTCTCGTTACATTTGAAAAAATTCAGTTATGATTAAAAATACGTTTTGGTCATCGTGTAACCAGGAAAAAAAACCTAAAAAAACGTTAGACAATCAAATATTTTTTTCAACAGCTCCTCAACTTGCTATTTTTTTATTAAAAATGTCAAAAATTGTCATTTTCTATCAAATAAAGTAAAAAAATTCCGAGAATAAAAATTGAAAGTTATAGTCATTTCCGGTAAAACAGGAAGTGATCGAAAATAATTGAATACGTCAATCAATCTCGATATCTATCATATACTAACGTACCAAATATCGTTCTTTTATCTAAAAAATAACAAAGTTATAGGGGTGAACATGTGAGCAACTACTGTAAAACACCCGGTATAATATAACCTTCCCTTACTATTTTTCTCTAAGGGATATACAGGTTTACACAGTCTGTATGTTTATTATATTATTTGTAATTATATTATACCGTATGATCGAAAATAAAATAGCGTCAAAGACGGCTGGGCAATGATAATCGATGATAATTTCAGCGTAAATATCTAGATCGCTATTTAATAAAAGTGATGAACTTATCAAGACATGCAAATCTATCTCCAGAAAATTATTTTTCTCGTACTTTAAACTGCACAAAATCTTTTTACTCAATATAAAATTAGAAAACAACCTTCTTAAGGCCAACAGGCAGTAAGCTCCATTGAAAATTATAGAAGAGTACTGGCCAAGTAAATGACATCTAGAGCTTGACCTCGCCAAAATTATTATCGATTGTCACTCTCCAGCCGTCCTTGACGCCGTTTTTTTTATCGTATGGAATTTATTTTGTATATTGATCTTATCTGGTAATTTTTAATAATATGCTTATTTGCAACTTAAAAAAAGTAAAGAAATGTATTGTATCGTATTGGCGTGGAAATAGGTCATAAAATATCAAGAGCACGCTTTTCTAATAATTTTTGTGTCGGTGCACCGCAAGCAAAACTAAGAAATGTTATAATTTTAATTAGAATCTAACGAGCAATATGTCACAGTACTAATCTGTTTAATGTACAATCGCCCCGTTTAATGGCCCCTTAGGTATTAGCAACGTTCAAAATGCTCACTAACTTCATACGGTTGCAATAATTAAGTGTGATATATGCGCACCCATAAGAATTTAAATGGTCACTATAAATCGTACTGATTTTTTGTCCATCACCGAATTCAGCACACATGTATTGTTGTTTATATATTGTCTGTGTGTTCTAGGGCGACAATTCTAGGTATCCAGTATATGTGTTTAAAACAAATGGCACTGAATACCTTAAGAATTATGACTGTAAATAACATACGATTAAAAAAAAACGGCGTCGAAGACGGCTGGGAATGTCAATCGGTGATAATTTTGTCGAGGTCAAATTATTAAGACTCACTTAAGTTTTAATCATCTGCGGAGGATGCTTACATGGTTAGCGAAATGCGCGTCCAGTGCGAGAGTAAATGTGTTTTGGTGTATTCTGGTAAATTAGTGTTTTATTTTGCTGTCGTAACGCCAAAGGTTCCAACCCTCAACTGTAATTTTTATATTGAGTAAAAGTTATTTTTAAATGGTGTAGTTTAAAATTCGAGAAAAAAAATATTTTTTTTGAAAGAGATTTGTGTGTCTGGAAACGTTCTATCTTTTTTTAATCTTTCAATAATTAGTGTTAATTGTGAAGTTGTATGTCAATTTTTAGCAAACGACGTCTAGCGATTGACCTGGCCAAAATTATTCTCAATTGTCATTCCACAGCCATCTTTGACGCCGTTTTTTTTTCGTTCATACAGTAGTATACGATCACCTTAAAATATTTTGAAAATATCAACGGCTTCAAAGTAAGAAATGTTAGCTGTCTGTATTGTTGTTTACTGCATTCGTAGCTGACATCTGTTTTTATTAATTTTATAGATTTTTAAGGTTTTTGTTTTATGTTCTAAATTAACTGTTATACACTAAATATTTTTTTTACATATTTAGAAATTAAAGAAAATTATACAGGGTCCAGCAATAGTGCGTCGGGCATATATGATAGCTCCTAGAATAAAAAACTTGGAAATTTTGTTCGAAGTGCAGACCTAAAGTATGTACTAGGACGTATTTTATGAAAATATTTTAACTGCTGGTGGCTCAAAAAAGTGTGAGTGGATCAGGATGATTTTTTCCAAATTAATTTTTAATATTATTGGTAATAAAACCGCGAATATTTGCGAAACCGTTAAAAATTTTGAAATACTTTAAATAAAAAAATGTTTATTTTTTAGTTCTCCATCAACCAAGAAAAACTATTTTATACTTTAGAAAGTTTGGCATAGAATTTTGGACACCCTGTATGGTTTAAGATTACGATATTTGTGTCAAAGTAAGTACAGACCCACTACAATAAATACCTAATCTAGTTTTGATTTTAGGACATTTCTAGTGTTTTTAATAATTTTTTTAAAAGTACTCACACTTTTTTAAGCCACTCTATAGAAGTTAAAATATTTTCCTGAAATACATCCTAATACATAATTTAGGTTTGCACTTGAACAAAATTCCTAGCTTTTATATTATAGGAGCTAAAGATGCCCGACGCACTATTGCCGGACCCTGTATATTGTAAAATATTTCAAGAAGAGTAGCTGTAACACCCTGTATATGACGTACTCAAAAAATATTTCTTAAAAACTCAATTCAATTTGATTTATGCCATGTACAAAAGCCTTCATATTTTGTCACATTAAAATATTTTTTTATGAAAATAATCACATTTTTGGCGTAAATCAATAAAAGTAATATTTCCCTAATTTTACCACATGTTTTTAAAAGATCAGTTTTTTGTATAAACACTTAAGTGTATTTAAAACAAAAAAATTGAATTTTTTGCAATTCAAATTAATATAATTATGTAATAAACTTTTGAACAATAAAACCTTAACTTAAAAATTAGGAATTATATACATGCAAACAGTTCATAATAAAGCTTACCAAGATTATTTAATGTGATATAATATCCAAATAAAGCACATCCAGAAACACAGGAACAAGAAAACAATATATTACAGGTTAAAAATCACTTCGACTATGTGAATTACTACGCACTACTAGGCAGCCCGAGATATAAAAACTGATAAAAACTACACAGTTTTTTTATGCAGGTAAAAATACAGAGAATAGAAAGACTACTATAGAGCTTATCTTTTATAGAATGATATATAAATATTAGTATACAGGATGTACAGGTACATCTTACGAAAAAATATTAATCTAAAAACATAATATGTATCTTGAAATTTAATTCAAAATAAAATAACTCGGCTATTTTGGACTTATTTGAAAAACGACAAAGACAAAATATGTGTCTTTTATCGAGATCTGCCTGCTCTGAAAATATGTGGACTTATTTAAAACCCACCCTCTGACCCTCTATCTTATATAATGATTTTACATTTTTTTGCATTTCAATAGTTTTTTTTATGTCTGATTGACTTAAATCAGTATATTTCTTCCGGAATAGACAGGGTGAGTCTTAAATAATTGCAAATATTTTTAGGGGTGTATTTCTACCCCAGAAAGGGGTCTACCCCTTTTCAAAGGGATTTTTCACAAAAAAGTTTGAAAATTTGAATTTAAAAAAAATGATTTTTTAATGTTTAGTCAAAATCAACCAAACCAAAACATAATATTTTCATAATACGGCAACATTATGTAGGTAGTAGATTAAATTTACAAGAAATAAAACCTAGAAAAGATCTAGTAGGTCTCAAAATCTAAGCGAAAAATTTTATGAAATTTTCAAATTAAAATATCTCGGTTATTTTGGACTTATTTGAAAAACGGTAAAGAGAAAATACAATAATTGTTGTAATCTTGTCGTAAAGTTAAAATAAAAGTAATAAGATACCTGTAATATAAGCTAAAACAGAATATATAATAAATAATTTTAGTATTAGTCCCACTACACTGTAGCCAGTATATTTTAAGGGTAATTTCCTACCAATAATGGGCAGGCGTATATTCCAAGTCTCTTTTTCATTTTAATAACGAATATATCCATTAGGGAAGCTTCCTTTCTGGGAGTTTTTTGCTATTGTAGCGCTGACGTGTTATTTCCAGAGGATGTTATGTAGATTCTCTTGTTAGAAGTCTTCTGATCAATCAGAAAAAAATAGTCTGCAAGTCATTCTTCGAGCGATTTGTATGAAAAAAGACGAACTAGGTCACAGCCCCTACCTGGTAAGCTTCTGATTAAAACGCGGGTCATCTGGTCTCTTTATTAAAGTTCCTTAAAGTTTTTTCTCTTTAAATAATGAATAAGATATTGACTATTGAATTCTACAGTGAGATCAAAAAGACAAATTATTTTATTTATTATAGATTTTATTATTTTTTAGTTGTATTATTACAGAAATGGTACTTTCCATTAGGGTAGAGAGTACTACTGGTGGTATTTCTTTTATCCTAATAGATACAGTAATTTCAACAAATGACATAAAAAGCTAGAACTTTTTTATGTAAAGAGGTGCTCTTTATTTAGTTGGCTTAGCGATGGTGTAAAATTCCACAACATCCCTGAAAGGGTACTTTTCAATAGGGTAGAGAGTCCTACTGATGGTACTCCTTTTATCCTCATAGATACCGTAATTTGAACAAATTATATAATTGATTTAAATATAAAAAGGGCGCACCAAAGAATGTTGCACGTAGGCGCCAGATACCCCAGGAACTGGCCTGCTCTTCGTTTAGTTCGAAACGGTGAGCGGTTTTCAAAATATTTGCGTTTAAAGGTTACGATGCATCGATTTTAGTATTATTTTTATCTGTAGAATCAACCACCAAGCCACAATTTTTTTGACACACTGTATACTGTACAAGACATTGGCTTGACCTGAGTGATATCAGACCCTTGGTTGTAAAGTTTGCAACGTTGCCGAAAGATCACTCTTCTGACGAACAGGCAAACGAAAAACTAGCGCTTTGTAGACCCGCTAACCAAATATTTACGCTAGATGATAAAAATGTTTGCGAACTTTATATAAACTTTCCTGAACTTCGTATTTTTCCACCTGGTTCTTTTGGTTTTGCCTAAAGTTATCCTTTTATTTCCAAATAAGAGTGTGTGTCCATTTTTGCAAATCCTTAACTCAAATATAAAGTAATACGTTATATATTTTTACTTTGTATTTCCCTCATTTTGATCGTTTTTTTATTAGTATATTTTATATTAATTGTAATATAGTCTTCATAATACCTTTTAAACAACAATCTCCAATATTGATTATTAAGCCCGTGTTTATAAAATGAAATGTATTGAATATAACACTACAATTAATCGACGATATTTTATTTATCGCCACTGTATATTAGAACAAAACATCATTAAACTAAATAATAACGAATATAAATGACACGCAAAGAGGAGAACTAAGCCTCTCGTATCAATTACATCTAGTAAATCATTAATAACATAGAAAAAATAATGAGAAAAACATTGAAGATATAGCTTTTATACAAGAATTACAGTCTGCTATGGTTCATCAATTTTGTTCAGCGAGTGGTACAAATTCTAACAGGCGGGTGACAAATGATACTCCAACATTAAAAGAGAAACTAAATTTTAAAGATTAAAAACGTATAAATCAAAGTTAAATTATATTTAAGTCTGCTTGATGTATTACTGATTGTCCTCGGTATTAGCAATAATCTGAAATAAGCTAGCTTGTTTTTATTAGTTTAGATACTCAACCAAAATTTATTTTTTTAGATTTTCAGAAAATTTTCAGACTTTTTTTCAGAAATTGAACCGCCACCAAAGTATAGACATTCTTTAAAAAAAAAACATTAAACTGTCTTTTACTGAACCTGCTGAAATGAATTTTATATTTTTTCTCCAGCATACAGTCAAAGCTCTAATTGAGAAATTAAGGATTAAGCTTTTATATCCTCGTTCACAAACAGACCAAATGAGTTTGTTCTTTTCAGTTATTTCATTAACAACATCCGATTAACCATTTATTCGTGAACAAAGACTTGGGCCATAACATAACCTTACAAATTCCAAATCCAACGAACCATTAAATATGCTATTTTGCCTTTTGCTAATTGCCTTAAACCAAATCTGTCTGTCAAAAAATGCCCCTAACGAGCCTTCATATCCTTCAACACATTCAGGTTTAAAGAGAAACATATTAATTAAAATAAAAAATGATATAATATTTTTATATGTATTTAATATCCACTGTATACTCTACGTTCTAACCTAAACTAAAAATAAAGAAAACAAACGGTGGCACCTTAAAATTCAGAAAATCCAGTTTAATCCAGACGGTTATTTTGAAAACAACGATGCAAAATTAATTTGTTTTGAAAACCGAAAAATTATTTCCAAGGAATATTAAAGAACCTCACAGGCACATAACAGTTAACGTTTTACTTTTATTAAGTTGATATGAAAATGCAACAATAACATGCGAAAAATTTAGAATTTGGAAAACTTCAGTACATAGTACCTAAGTATATGTAGTGATAATATTAACAAAAAATGTTTTCATATAACTGTTAGATTATCATATAAAATTTATATTAAAATAAATCTACTAACTCTAACAATTCGAAACAGGTAGGTTGAATTATTTGGTAGTCATATATTATTCTCTTCCCTCCTTTTTTTTCTAGAGCCATGTTTGCCTGCTTTAAGGGGGTTTACTTACTGCCATAAATCAAGTCTATTTAAAATCTTTAAACTGGAGCAGTCGAAAGAAAAATGGCGCCCAATGATGATCCCAAAATTTTTCTTCTACGAAAGTTAAATATTTGTTGGCATTTTGGCCAGAAAAAATGGGCATCGTTGCTTTCTCGTTTGTTTTCATGAACCTACGATACATATAAGAAAAAACAGAAGACGTCTGATCGGTGTCCCGATACATAATCTTGCTTTTACCATACGATCGAAAAAAAAACGGAGGATGACAATCGATAATAATTTTGGCGAGGTCAAGCCCTAGACGTCATTTACTTTTGCATTTAAAAAAATCAGCTTTATTCTACCGGGTGTTGGCCTCCTTCGCATATTCTTTTTCCATTTGCGTTATTAAATGTTTAATTTTAGTTTTATTAAATAAAAAAAATGTGAGTGACTTACTTTGAAATGACAACTCTGGCATGCTAAAATCAAAAAAACAGTGGACTTAGCTGCATAATGTCGCATTGTGATGCCCCGTGAAAGATAAGATCTTAATAATAATCCTCACGCAACCCCAGTGTCTCTTGGGATCAGTGGATATAATCCCTTTGGAAACTTTGGGAAAACAATAATTAAAGATCAAAGCTTTCGCCATCTTCCAGTCTTAAAAAAACTTTTTCCCGCTTAGGTAATACGATTTTTTTATCTCCATGTAGCATAAAAATAAAGTATGTCCTGATGTAATTAATATTTATCTGGATTTTGAAGTTTGCTTTATGAAATTGGGAAGATTTTATGGCAGGCGTGTTTTTTCAAATTTAATTAAAAAGTGGTTCATAAACTTTACAATATTCTAAATGTGATTACTTAAATCATATACGTTATATAACACTTAATTCTTAAAACGAATCTGTACTATATAGAAGAAGTCCTACGCTTAACTACTATTCTCAATCTAGAGCCAATACTCCTTCCTTGTCTTATAGATCCTATAATGTAAGTTCATTGTTACATAGAACAATGAAACCTTAAGCTATCTCCACACCTTATTATTGCTGGAGCGGTTATTGTCCTGATTTGTTCTTTCTTCTTCATTTGTGTTAACATCTTCCTGTGTTAAGTAGTTTATACAAAGGCTAAAAGTTCATTCCCCTACAGAAATTTATATTTTAGCTTGTATGTTTCATTTCGAAATAAGTAGTTTAGTTTATAATATAAATTTGTTTTCCTTTATATCAATATATTTAAAAATTCCATTAATAACATTCCGCTTCATTCTAAGAGGTTCATTGACGTTTGGAGTTTTCTTTAGGAGTTTTACCATTAAAAAAATTTCTAAAGGTCAGGCGGCTATATATGTTAAAGTAAAAAATAACTAGGAGGTTGACATCTATCTTAAAAGGCCCAATCATCTATCTTAAAAAGGTCGTCCGG